AGTGACAAATGAAATGTTGATATCCCTACGAAATTTAAGTTTAAATAGTTAAATTTGTAAGGTGTGTGCGTATTATCAATGACTAAGAAAGATTGTACGAACCAAGTGGCCTCAATGATAAAAGAATTATTATTATTCATTGAGGTTTCTGGTTCAAGCATCATGAATATAAGAGGTGTAAGTATTCAATGTTAATGATTAAGATTATACTTGAAAAATAATATCTTGTATTTATCTCAGATAAAATAAATAAAAAAGATATTATACAATATTATTTTATAATCATATAAATTATTTAAAAAAAAAATTATATTGGGAGTCGAAAAATCAATGAATGTGGTCACTGTTACGCATAGGAGGCGCCATTTATCCTACATTGGCGAGTTTTAAAATCATAGGAAATTAATCAAGTTGAATTGGAATCTAACTTTGAATTGTTTGGACCTGAACAAGGTAAGTAGCATAATGGGTTGTTGGATTGGGTTCAAAGGAAATTTGCTTGGTCTATTAAATGGCCTTTAATTCGAGCTAACGTTTAAGTTCGGACAAAAAGGAGTGCTAATAATAAAAAAATTAGTTTCTTTTTAAAATTTAATAATTATTAAAAATAATATTAAAACTTTGGAGTAAGTCTATCAACAATGAAAAAAATTATGTATGAATTATATATATATATACATAATATATATATATATAACATTAAAGAATGAGTATAGTTAATGTCCTAACAGGATATTAACCCCTGTATAAAATATATAAAAATTGTGAGAAAATATTTTTTCTGTCATATCTGGTGTCCACTAATTAATAGATTTTAACTATATTCGAAGTATTTATGATCAGGACGAATAAAAATTCGTAGAATTATCCTTGGAACAATCTGATGATTCTCTCTTTATTAGTTTTATGCATTCTTTGTTGCTGCAACATTCTCTTAATTAGGTATATGCTGAACCATTTATACAACATGGAGTGGTATTGCTTTTAGTCGTTGAGTTTCTCTCCTTCTCTGTCTAATCTTTCGTTTTGCATTAGACGCCATATATTATTTGTCATATTAAAGGTTATTTTGGGACATATTATGACTTTTAATGGTTTTGCAGGAAACCGGAGCGAGTGTCAAGGATAATTCCAGTGAAGCAGGGGTATAAATGAATTGGACTTCAACGAATAAGTTTATATTCATATTCTTTCGTTTATTTTTTAAGGCCGTGTTTATGTTCGGTTTGCGTTTGTTTGTTTATTTTTAAAAGAGTTTGTGTTCGGTTTATTTAGCATTCGTGAACATGTTTGTTTAATGTTTGCGAACATATTCTTTATATGTTCACATGTTCATTTAGAGTTCACGAATATGTTCATATATGATTCGAGCCTAATACTTTTTTACCCTTTTATTTGCATGTCAAACAAAAAATAATAAAATTGTCACACTAGTCCTTAAGCTCCTTAAGTTTTAGAGTTTGAACTTCAAAGTTCATCGTATATTCAATTTAGTCTCTATCTTCATTAATATTTAAAACATGGGCGGATGTATGTGGACATGGTGGGGAGCAACGGCATACCCTTTTTTTTGGAAAATAATTAAATTTAGTTTAATGTAACAGGGAAAAGAAAAAAAAATTGCATACCCATTTTAAAAAAAAAGAATGAGTACCAAATTTTGGACCTCTATTTCTTATATCTATATCCATTTAAAATATAAAAAATAAAAGAAAAAGGAGAATTGAGTAAAAGAACTTATAAACAAGTCGATAAACGATTTTATAAACAAGCCAGTAAACGAGCTTGTTCGTAAAATAAACTAACCAAACACATATTTGTTCATATTCGTTCATTTATTAAACGGACATAAAAATTTTGTTCATACTCACAGCGTCATTGGATTGTAGGTATTTGAGTGGATTAAAGGAGGAGAGGGAAAATGCAGCTGAGGTTTTGAAACAAGCTGGGTTGAAAGAGGAAGTTGGCAGTTTTGCACAGGGAATTGATAAGAAAAGATTGATTGATGATGTTAGGCAAGCTTTATATGCCTCGAAGATATGTAGCTATGCTCAAGGGATGAATTTGTTGAGAGCTAAGAGTGTTGAAAAAGGGTGGAATTTGAACTTTGGAGAGTTGGCCAGGATTTGGAAAGGTGGGTGTATTATTAGGGCCGTGTTTTTGGATAGGATAGAAGGCTATAAGAGGAACCCAATTTGGCTAGCTGCTTGTGGACCCTGAGTTTGCTAGGGAGATGGTTCAGAGGCAGGCAGCTTGGAGGAGAGTTGTGGGGTTGACTATCTCTGCTGGGATCAGCACACCAGGAATGTGTGCTAGCCTTGCATATTTCGACACCTATAAGCGTGCAAGGCTCCCGGCAAATCTTGTGCAGGCACAGAGGGACTTGTTTGGGGCACATACCTATGAGAGGATTGATCGTCCAGGGTCATTCCATACAGAGTGGAAAAAGGCTGCTCACGGTGTTGGTGCACTCATTTGAATTTTCCTAGTTAGTTTTGTTTTACCTTGGCATTGCAATGAATTTCAATCTTATAGCTTTCTTTTTCTTTCAATAAAAATGCATGCCTTTTGAGTTGTAGATGTTGAATGCTTGTTGGCAGAATGGCTAAAGCCTTGTATTCCTGCTATACTTTGTCCAGTATAAACAAGAAATGAGTAATGATTGCAAATTTTGGCACACTTGAAGTGCAGGGATAGATGACTATAGTGAAGAATTAGTAGTTCGAATTAATTTGCCAAATTCTAACTATTAGCGAAGTTCAAATTGATTGCCGAATAGAATTTATATAAATACATTACTATAATGTCATAATGCATAAGCTATATAATTTTTTACAATGATTCAGAAGGAATTTACAAAAAACAATGAAAAGCAAAAGCACGGGAATCAGGACAACCCTAATCACCAACTCATTGTCTGATGGTGAGTTCCGCCCTGAGATGGAGGATGTCATCTATAAAGTAAATGATCATCCGCCATGAATGCCGTCCAGGGAATCCCAAATAGGTTTCGATAGCCAACAGCCTTTCCTCCGGTGAAATGTAATTCCCTTTATACTTGCTTACAAAATCCTCAGTTGGCTTTGACCTAGCTGCAAACTCGTAGTCAACAGCAAAAGTAACAGATCCCCTCTCTTGCATTCCCAAAAATAGCCCAAAGCAGTGGAATGAGCTTTGCTGATCCATGTTGCAATGAGCAGACAAGAAAAATCCTTGGCCACCAAGATGAAACGCTTGGGAATAAACTCTACCGGCCGGAAATAGATGTTCACACTCCTCACGCTTCAGGTCCAGGTACACGACACACGCTTCCGTGGCAATTCAAACTCTACAACCTTGACCGGACGGTACTTGTATGCCCGCTCCACAAAGCGATATGAGTGGCAGTAGCCTCTTCTGCTGCAAGTGCTCGCTGTCGGTACTGTGTCTCAGCCTTGAAAAAGGAGCTTCGATCACAACCTTGGATGAAAGTTCTGGATCAAAATCGATGCAGGTTAAAACTTTTTTCAGCTTTCTGCAAGTCAAATATGGAAAACGTATTAGGCGACTGAGGCGTGAAGCAAAAATTCCACGTCGTTCCTCAGTCTTGGGTAATGATGTCCGAGCCCACTTCAGCACAAAGTCGTAAACAGCATCCTCTGAAGCTACCTGGAGACCATCGCTGGAAAATACTGCCTCTATCCCAGTAAGAGCAATTGAGTATTTCCTCCTGAAACCTGACAAGAAACAGAGCAAACCATCCATGATCTAGAGTTTAACTCAAAAATGGGCCTAAAGAAAACAGTTAACGAAAAATTGACACTAATTCACGTAATTTGTCACTTAAGCCAGAAATAGACAGCACATACAAGACTGCAATTAGCCAAATGTTTTTTAAAAGAAGAATGCTCACTATTTCGCAGGCGGGAGAAACTTAGAAACAAAACCGTATATATCAACAAAGGGTGCCATACTCTCACAATATCAGAGCAACAAAATAAGCAACCTTGTTACAGTTAAAATTACTCAAAATATACATGTATTTAGTAGTGAATGATAGTGGCACTCACTTGGTTATATCCTTGTATCTCGCAGCAAGAAACTGCTTTGCTGCATCTGTCAGTGGCTGTACAGCATCCGCCTTAAAACCTAGATGGAAGGTCCAAATATAGTAAAGCCGATTCACAGGTCATAGGCAGGTTTCTTACAATCGACTACAATCTCTGCATGATGCAACCTTGAATTTGTCAGCAGCCATCAACACATCTAACAAGGCAGTAGGTGTGGTTGTTGATAGGGTGTTGCTATACATAAAATTTAGCAGGTCCAGAAGAGCTGTTTCTTTGCTCAAGAAAAAAAATCCAACAAACATTAGGTCACATAAACTAGACAATAACCTAATAAAGAATACGATAACCTTAAAACCACAGAAATGCATAAATGAACCCTCAAATTCAACAGGTTCTAAAATGAAACATAGGAATTAGAGTTTAGCAGAGAGGTAAAAGACATAAACGATCAATAGGAAAAACATTCCAGTGCTACCAGAGGCATGTATTCGGAGTGTTACATGTCGCTAGGAAAAACATTCCAGTGCTTACCAGAGGCATGTATTCGGAGTGTTACATGTCGCTGCTCTGACTCCTTCATTCCATTTGAAAACAACTACAAGCAAAGGGTCAAACTTCTAAGTCAACCATGAGTACGGGAAATGATAATAGAATGAAAACAAACAGCATCCCCTTACCTTATAAAAGAACGGACTTTTTGCTGCTAAAATCGGAGAACTAATGTGTATGGTCTTGACTCTTAGAATTTTTGAACAATCCACATTCCTAGATGAGTCATTGTTGTAAATGGTGTCATTCCCTACAAAGGAACCAAACAGCTCTCAAGGCACATGAAGATTAACTAAATATTTGCTTTAATTAACATAAAGGAACTTGGAAAGTGTCTGTATATGCAGAGTAAAAATGAAAAAGTAATTTATGTATGTAATTAAGTTACCGGTTTTGAAAGGAATTAAATCCAACATCAGAAGGTGACTTCAGCTATTGACATGGGCTCTTCATCTTGATTCACATACGTTACACCATCCACCGTGTATGGCATTTTACAATTCAAGATTTGCTCCTCACTTTGCACGATAAAATCTGCAGGACACCAATCAATTTGCACTGTCAAAAGCATTTTTTAAAATAATAATAATAATAATAATTAAAGAAACAAACAAACCGTTTTCTTTCTTGAAATCTTCCCTCCGTCTTTCTATTACGCGCCCAATCAGCGATAGAGGAGCAACCATCACCGTCGGATTTAGTTTCGGGCAATCAGGCATGATCTCGATCCTCAAGATCCGATCGGAGAAATTACTGTCGTCAAAAGCAAAGCCAAAGTCCGGGTCGACGGAACCATAGCCGGAAGTTTCGCCGGCTGAGAAATCGGAGTCCATAATCGTTTGTGGATCAAAAGATCAGCGCTGGTCACTAGCATGCCCAGGAATCCTCCAAAAGCAAGTACAAACAAAGCATAAAAGTAAAGTTGAAAGACAGTTAAAAACCTGCAACACCAACGCTGCTTATTTTTCGAATCTGAAGCTGCTTCTTCCGTCCTCTCTCGTACTTATACTGCGTTCCGTATATCATTTCTCATGCCATGTGGCAGTTAATTGATTGGTTATTGGTAAATATAACTGATTTTCCTATCCAACTAGCAAACGCAGGGCCCGTTTATAATTGCGCAATCCAAATCTACCCTCATAGGCTTAGAAGCCCGAGTCGGACTCACTTTTTCATATTCAGCCACTAAAAGACCGAAGGCGACTACAACTGGGCCTCATTCTTTACTGGCCCTCACAACATATAAAGCACTGGTTGTCCTAAAGCCTGTTTGCATATTGAAAGGGAAAAAATAGTTATTTTTAAATACAAATTATAATTCTATAGAAATAGTGCTAGTAACATAGAAAGTATGTCTTTCTTCTATTAATAGTTGAACTAAATTTAGTACAGCCTGACCATACATTAAATGATATAACATTCATTCAGTCCAAGTTATCAAACTCGATACTTGATCAACAAGATTTACTTACATTTAATCAACTCTTGTTTTCCCAAAATTGTAACTTACACAATTCAATCAATACAAAAAAGACATTCATGGACTTATTACTAAGATTAGTTATTGAAACAGTCCAATATTCTATGAACTATGTTCAAATCAAAAGCGTTTGTCAAAATATTGGAAATATCATTGGTTCATACAATGCATTCTTTGAACTGCTTAGACACCTTTAGAAATGAGAGATAAGTAAACAAGTCAACATGTCAAGTTAAGAGATTGGCTAAGGGTTTTACACAGATGGTCTTCATGGTGCTTCTATCATGAGAATTTCAGGGGCTGTTTTTCTCATCATTTTCCAAGAGAGTAAAAGCTTGGATAAAATTGTACAGGAAAATCACCCGTATTTAATAGGTGGTTCTCTAAGGTAAGATCTTGGTCTGAACATGTGAAAATTGAAAACCGAAGAGTGTGTGGCTGTCTAAGATTTGATTTTAAGAAATAGATAGTCGTGATCATTTCAAGACATGAAAATCATGACTCACATAGGGATGCAGGGACATGAAAAGTTTTTTTTTTTCTAAATAAAAAAATAATAATAATGATACTTGTTAAAACTAAATCATAATAAATATGAAAAATAATTGGGATCTAATCATATCAAATCATTAAGAATAAAAATACTAGATGCGGAAACGTGTTTGAATTAATCGATAGGTTGAAATCATTAAGTATATCTTTGATTTTGATCTTTCAATAAGATATAATCCTCTTGAGTATAAACTCTCTAATGGGATAAGGGGATCATAACCATTTTATATAATTGATTTAAGAATCAATTATTCTATGTATTTATAACTCTACCCCTCATCAAATTATAAATACAACTTTAATAGTATCTACACTTTTATTTCCATGATACTTCTAATACTTTATGACTTTATAACATAATTGATCACATAATTCATGTCATATTTTATTATAACAATATACATTACAAACATGTATCCATAATTATGTATTTCAATCCGACAACCTAAAGTCCTCAAACATTTTAAAAACAATTGACGTCTCGAATTATTTTTAAACTAATTGTAACCTTCAACCTCGAGAAAAAAAAATCTTTTAATCAATAATTTCTGTGATTGACCGTTATGATGACGTTTCACGATATTGACATTGTTAATATGACAATTCACCATACTAATATAATCACATTATTTTTTTTTCAAAAAAGTTTAAAGACCTTATTTAAGCTTTAAAAAAAAAACTGTAGCAGCATTAAGCGAGTTTGCAAGTGAATTTTGCAATGGATGGAAGGATGAAGTGAAACAGTTTCAAAAAAAGGGATAGTCCCAGATGAAAGATGATAATTAAGAAGATGCAAACCCCAATAGAAGTCTTGTCAGATTAGAGAAGATGGAGATGCTAGCTGAGTCACCGATCCATCGCCGAAAGTTGAATGTAAGGGTGGCGCTAATATGAGGTCAAACAGTAATAGGATCGGCGAGAACGTGAATGAATGCGTGAATGTACAGGTTGGTTCATGTGTGGATTTATGTGTAGGCCCCCAAAGATGTGAAACACATGGGCCTACTGCTTGATTTGCCTTACTTGAATGGCCTGCTAGAAGATCAGATTAGATTAATTTGTTATAGGGTACATACGGATAGGGATGGGCATGGGTCGGGTTTCGGACAACCCGACCCGAATAAATTTTTTACATCTTTCACCTGACCCGACCCGACACAAAAAATATATATCTTCCATCCGACCCAAACCCTACTAAATTTTTTTAAGATAAAATCCGACCCGAAATAATAAAAAAATAGTATTTTTATTACATAAAAACTGTGATTTAATTGAATATATATATATATAGATGTATTCTTGTAATTATTCCTATATATATAAGGTAAAAAAAATTCTCAGGTCGGGTCGGGTATTTTTCACACTAAATCCGAATCCGACCCGACCTAAACCTGAATATTTTTAAAAAAAAACTCGATCGAGTCTGGTCGGAACCCACCGGATTCGAGTCCCATGCCCATCCCAAGGTACGGGTTGGCTTTAGCACATAAGATGGTATCAGACATAACCACTCTAGATCCTACGGATCGATTCATGGACAATCGACAACTGCAATTGTCCGAATTAGGGGCGAGTGTTGGATCAAATTAAGTAAAGTCAAAATATTTTGAGTTATTCTTGACGATAAATTATATTTTATAACTCCAACATCATTTTTAAAAAAAATTGAGCGAAGTTGTTCGTGTTTCTGTTTATCCCTAAGCTCTAAACTAATCCGCTAATTATTCAAAATTTCGAGTTATTTGAATTAGTATTTGAGTTTTATTTTATACTTCAACTTAAATTTAAAACTTTTAGTCGAGTGAAATTTATAAAATTACAATTTAATTTAATTAAAATATATATTATTAAATTAAATTAAATAAAAAATTAATTTTTAGAATCGAATCAAAATTTATTCATTTTTAATCCGAACAACACCCATGGTCAAGCCAAGCCGAGATGGTATGGGTCATAAGAGTTGGGACTGTTACGCTTATCATTTTCCCGTCCAATCAATCTATCCGATTCAATCTGGTCCAAGATAACAACTATGACCTAAACTATCCACATCACATAAACTCTCTAAATCTTACAATTAGGTTACCAATGGTATAAATTTTATCTTTACATCATGATTAAACTTATAAATCAAAATTTATATTTTCCTAAATTCCCATTATATTGATTTATCATATTCTATTTGGATCTTACATTTTGAAATTTTCGTTTTTAATTTCAAACTCACTTATACTTTATATTATTACATGGATCCCTTGCGGATTAGGTAATCCCTTTTTTTGTCGTTAAGGTGGAGAACCCTCCCTTGGTAATCCGTTAGCTTAGCTTTAACTGTAGCCTCTAGAGGTTCGAGTTCCGAGGGACTAATAGATTGACAATTGCACTAATATGAAGTTGTTATTAGTCTGAAGAGGTGATCCATATAGTAGATCTTTGGAGATGATTTCCTACTACAATTTGATTTACAAAAAAGTATTATTTATTATTATAAAATATATTTTTAATGTTTATTCTTACATTGAACTCGCATATCATAAATTTGATAAATGCTTTTTTAAAGCAAAAATTTGTGATTCTTTATAAATAATTCTGTCGCCTTTGCTTTGCAATAAGAAAATAAACTCTCCAATGAATCATTTAATTCCATTATTTGAAAATATGCTTACTTATCTTTATGAAGGATTTTTCAGATGCTTCATTATACAAAAAAAAAAAAACTTGTAAAATAATTTCTGAAAAGATTAAGGAGCAAAAGAATAAATTCCCCATATAATTTTTTTTTGAAAGACCCCATATAAAATATTAGTTGCCATATAGTTTGGTAGTCTTTGTTAAGTGGTATCATATTATCAATCGAGGATTCCTTTTTTTTTTTCCTTTTTTCTTCTTCTTTCTTTTATGTCCTAAAGCTTGTAATATACTCAATTTTATTATTTAAATATCATAATTTTTATATCCTTCAACATGATGATCTTCGGTATACATGATTTTATTATACTCAATTTTATTAAGGTGTTTCATTCGTTCAATGACGGGTGATTTCTAGAGAATAACGATTATATAGGTATGTGATAAAAAAATCTACTGTTTAATGCAAAATACGAAAATACATAATGTGTCATCGTAAAATATGACCTTGTTAGTTGGACCGACTGTGGTGGTACTGATAAAGGAGCATCACTCGTTAAGAATGATGTGCATGAAGTAAATATTGGGTGTTGTAGTACTTGTGTATAATAATATTGTCTCGAGCTCAAAGAGGAGAAACCATATATGTTGAATACTCTATTTGTATCGATTGGCTAAAAGTGGGCAGTATTGACAATGTATGTTGTAGTGATCTAGACAATATTAATAAATTAAGTCGAAAGGGTTTATTCTTCCTCGATTAATTGAGAAACAATGATGTTACACAATTGAACATTTTTCTTTGCATTGATGAATAAATCATAATCGTTGTTCATTGAACAATTGATATAATTTTTCGTATACCATAAACCATGATATGTGTAACCCCTAGACCCAGCCTGGACATTATGTCCAAATCTAGACGGTTAGATATCTTATTCATAAATTTATTTTCATATTTAAAACAACGTTAAAATTCATATAACAATAAAATATGTAATTAATCATAAGAAATGTTCATAAGATAAACATCTATATATCAAGACGGTAATAAATATACATATATCTGAAAACCCGTATAAAACATATACATAGCAAAATACCGGTAATACAAATATATCAAGATGGTAGCAAAAACACGTCGCACAAAGGTACAACAAAAAGGCATAGAGAGATATTCAATGGTACAAAAACAAGAGTAGTCTGTCTTCCTGATACCAAGTCTGCTAGTCTTCTATTTGCTAATATCTGAAAAGGTTAAAATTTACAAAATGAGCTAAAAAACTCAGTGTGCTTCTTACGGTGTATAAAATCATACATA